CCAGACAAGAAAGATGCACTGTGGATATGTTCCAGTCAGCAAAAAAATTGAAGTGTGAGCAGGATCATCTTACCCATAGGCACTAGGGGTGCAGGGCACCCAGGCGCCAGGCCAAGAGTCCAGGGCCCGAGAGTTGAGCCCGCCCACCCATCAGTCAGAGCGCCACTGTGGGCTCTTCTGCTGCTGGTGGCTCTGTGCTGCGAGTTTGGGGGCGACCGAGCCAGTGAGACACTGTGGCGGCCAGCCAGCTCTGCCCTCCTGCGTGCATGGGACTGGGCAACCTGGGGGGTGGCGCCAGGCGGATCTTTGCACCCCAACACCGCATATGCTTAAGACAGCCCTAGGTGTGAGGCAGGGCCAGTGAAGGGTGTGGTCTGGGGAGAATTTCAAAGGCCCAACAAAGAGTTATGGAGCGAAGATATGGTGAATCTAGCTGACGAAGATATGGTCAATCTAGCTATTGCATCATTGTAAAATTTGATATATGTGAAAATGGACTCAAGGCATGAACTTCTTTTACTGCAGTAGTGGCTGGGTGAAAGAGAAGCTGTGACACCATTAGGGCTCAGTGGGTGCTCAGTGTATAAACCAGATTGATGCACTGGGCTGACACAGGGAGGGTATATGGAAAATAAACTGCCCAATCATTCTGGACATAACAACTTCCTTGCTCTGGATGATATACTGTAAAGCTTGTAGTGGCAACTTCAAAGGTAGTCAATCAAACTGCCAGCAGCAGGGGCTGTCGAAATTAGGAGGCGAGCGGGATATGGCAGAGAACAAAAGCTGCTCTTTGTAAATAGTTTCCTCATACTCATCCCTCTCTTCGTTTAATTTATATCCTTGTCATTATGACTTTTATGAAACTGCCTTACTTCCATCTGGGCAGCAGGTTTATGGAGCAATTAACAGGACAATCAAAAAGGTCTCCTTCAATAATAGCCAGAGGTCTCCATTGTAGTTGAGATGAGAAAGAAGAAGGTGGTTTTGACTTCTGTGCAACTGGATGGTGAGGGGTGAGAGGTGACCAAAGAGCGAAAGAGAGAGAGAAGAAATCTTAGTTTTCCAAAGAAAAATGATGAGCCTCTGAACAATTAATCAATTCCGTCCAACAGTATATTGATGTTATTAACAACATAAGAGTTGATACACCAACTGATGGCAAAGAAAAAGACTGAAATCAGTTAAATGTTCCTGTTGGAATTACATGCAGAAGGCTTGTTGTTAATGGCATGTCCACACTGACAAACGCAAAATTCAACCACAAGGACTTAAAAATATATTTGCTGGTCAGGACAAAGGCCTATCTAGTCCAGCATTCTGTTCTCACAGTGATGCCTACAAGAAGCCCGCAAGAAGGGTTATGAGTATGAAATATACTCGGAGTTGAGTGTGGATTTCATGCTCTTTATTCAGCTCATAGTAGTGAGGAATGAAAGTTCCCCCAAAATATCTGCTTTATATACATTATTTACACAATGGGTCACACGTGATTGGCTAATTCTGGGATTCTCCTGTAAGCCAATCAGGTTGCGGATTCACTTCCACCTGGAGCTGGATTGGGTGGCTCCTGCGGACCAATCAGACTGCTGCATTCTGGACCCTATTGTTCTAGGACCAATCAGGCTGCTGCATTCTGAATCCTATTGTTCTAGGACCAATCAGACTGCTGCTTTTTGGATCCTATTCAACTCAGTACATAACAGAGTACAACAGCCCTCTCCACAAAACATCTGAAGGGCACAAGGGTGTTGAAAGCTGACAGAACCTCTAGGACTAAATCTGAGCAAGGACCCCAGGACCCCCAACCTTGCTCTGACAAATGAAACTATTTTGTTCAAGGAACTCACATGAGCGAAAGCCTTGACACGGGGCTGAACTAGGGTAAGAGCTCTTAGGCTACCTGTAAATGGGATTTCAGTTTCAGCTCCAATTAATTATTCAGCAGGACCATTAAAGACTGAGGTTTGGTTACAGCAGCAACTAAAACAATAATCTCGACAAATGTAAAGTAGTAGATATGATGATGAAAACCCCACAACTCACTGCAAAATTAATATTGCAACCAAATACCACAACCATGATCTACTCCTGACCACTTTATCTCAGTGCATGCATTTTTATACATATTGCTCAGCGGGCGAACGTTTCAACATTCGGAGAAGTGAAAATTTCAAAAGAGGACTGCATTTTGGTTTGCATATTGTTACAGAAAGTGCAAAATGGATAGGTCTCCCTTTAAGTGCAAAGAAAATCTAATTCCTCGCCCATCCCTACATATGAGTTTTTCTGTTGCACATAGCAATATATGGTTGCCTCTTTATCAAGAAGCTTAGGCACCTATAAGAGATGCCTCCCAGGAGCAACCATGTCAGAGAGGTGAAAGGTAGGTGAATTCATCACCAACTTTTCAAGGTATCATAGAATTGGAAGGGACACCAAGCGTCATCTTGTCCAACCCCCTGCAATGCAGGAATCTTGCTAAAGCATCCATGACAGGTGACCATCCAACCTCTGCTTAAAAACCTCCAGGAAGCAGTGTCCACAACCTCCTGAGGGAGACAGCTCCACTGTCGAACAGCTATTTTGCCTGGAGGAAAGTTTCGAATTGAATGTGGACATCCTGTTTGTGCAAACATTCACTTGGAACATAGGAAGAAGCCTTATCCTGAGTCAGACCATTGGTTCGTCCAGCTAAGCACCATCCATGTTGACTTTCCTCAGTGTTTTGGATAAGGTGGCGCCCACCCTGTGGAGCGCCCTCCCACCAGATGTCAAGGAAATAAACAACTACAGTGGTACCTCGGGTTACATACACTTCAGGTTACAGACGCTTCAGGTTACAGACTCCGCTAACCAAGAAATAGTACCTCAGGTTAAGAAATTTGCTTTAGGATGAGAACAGAAATTGTGTGGTGGTGGCACGGCGGTAGAGCTAACCCCATTAGCTAAAGCGGTGCTTCAGGTTAAGAACAGTTTCAGGTTAAGAACGAACCTCTGGAATGAATTAAGTTCTTAACCGGAGGTACCACTGTATCTGACTTTTAGAAGACATCTGAAGGCAGCCCTGTGTGGGGAAGTTTTTAATGTTTGATCTTTTATTATGCTTTTAACATCCTGTTGGACACAGAAGAAGAAGAAAAGTTTGGATTTGATATCCCGCCTTTCACTCCCTTTAAGGAGTCTCAAAGCGGCTAACATTCTCCTTTCCCTTCCTCCCCCACAACAAACACCCTGTGAGGTGAGTGTGGCTGAGAGACTTCAAAGAAGTGTGACTGGCCCAAGGTCACCCAGCAGCTGCATGTGGAGGAGCGGAGACGCGAACCCGGTTCACCAGATTATGAGACTACCGCTCTTAACCACTACACCACACTGGCTCTCTTCTCCACACTGGCTCTCTTCTTCTTCACAGAGTGGCTGGGGCAGTCTGGCCAGATGGGTGGGGTATAAGTAATAAATTATTATTATTATTATTATTATTATTATTATTATCCTTCCTTCCTTGGAAATGTTGGGGATTGAACCTAGGACCTTCTATGTGCAAACCTTTAAAAGCTTGTTTCTAGTGGGCTTCAGATGACCTGCCACCACCCCACCTCCCAAAAGAGAAGTGTGAAGGGAGTCGTGAAGCCTCATGGGGTAGATGCACCTCTGTTGTGCACTGCAGTTTTGTTCCCTAGCTGTCTCTTCATCCAGCTTCTGGAGGGACTCTACATGAGAAAACGAGAGAGGATCCACATGCCATGCAAAGTGAGACACTGAACCAATCACAGCATGCAGTGGCATGGCAGAGAAAGCTCATGTGACCTTGCAAACCCTCATTCACTCTTCCTTAATGCACAGAGGGGGTTGTCTGAACCCACTTCCTTGCACATCTTTTCTCAGGGGATGAAACTTACATGAAGAAACCAGAGCTGAAAATGTGGGCGAGAAAGTTAGCTGGGCCCTTAATGAAAACCCACAAGCCCTATTCCCCGACTCTCCCCACCTCTAGCCAAATCGTGACTCCCCATAGCCTCCTAAACAACAAAATCTAGGCATATATATCAAAAGTGCACGCTGTACCTTCTGTAGCACAGGAAAGAATAGACCAACAAAATTCAGTTTTGTAGGTGGAAGAGTAAATCACCAATCTGGTTATTCATAAATAAGCACCCTCTTCAATCATTCAGTCAGAAAATATTTTCCTCTTTCATCCCTCTCCTGCTCCCCGCCTTCCACGTGCCATCATTTCCTCATGTCTCACATTCCTTTCATTGTGCTGTGTGGTTTTTTTCTCCCTTGCCCAGTTACTTGGTGTGTGCTTTCTCCACTGTTCCCAATTTCCCATGCTCTACTGGCTTGGATTTGAGTGGCAGCTAGGAGTCTGTAAGCAGGTGTTGTGGAAGTGAAGCGTGCTATTCAGCCAGTACATTAGGTAAAGTAACATCCCCTTGGGAATGCTAATGCTTAAAACTGCATCAGCCCCAACTGTTCCTCAGAGGAGAGGAAGGGGACAGTCCTGACCTACTCGGACCAGATGTTTTGGAAGCCTGCCCGTTTTTAGCAGACATAATTGCTGTTAATTTATCAAAAGTGTAATAAGTATCAAGGAAGCAGCCTGCTTGGTTGAAAGAGAGGGCTGAAAAAGAGGCAATTAGCAGTGCAGAACGCAGCCTGCATGTACGGGCAATTTCTTGTTATGTGTCTTTGATGCCATGAAATATCTCAGCTAATGTAGCATCCATGAAAGGGGAGGTCTGGCTGGAGCCTGGAGGAAGGAATGGCCATCGCTCATTGGTAAATATTCAGTGCTCAGGTGGATCTGTTATACTTGGTTGAAACTGGGGCACAGGAAAGAAGCAGGAATGTAAGGTGAAATTTGAAGGCCATTCTGAGGTCATAGGAATGTAGAAAGCTCCTTTGTCCTGAATTTGGCCATGGTGCATCTAGCTTAATAATGTCTACACTGATTGGCAGTGGCTCTCCAGAATATCACAAAGGGGATACTCCCAGGCCTACATAGAGATACCGAGGATTGAACCTGTGACTTTCTGCATGCAAAACAAATGCTCTACCACTGAGCTGTCGCTCTTCCCCATAGCACTTCCTGCAGGTTGCTCAAAACTTAAATCTGCAACTGCGTGTGTTCGGCCTGCGAGTTACAGCTCTTTCCCAAGATGGTGATGTTGATGTTGCCTGCATCATCCTTAGCTGGCAAGGGTATGGGAACAGAACAGCATGCCCCCATTTAAAACAACTGCCCAGGTGCTTCCACCTATTTCCTTGCTATTGTAGCTGCATCTGTTTGCCATGTAGCCATCAGTCTCCCCAAGGAAGAGGAAATAGAGTCAGACCCGGTCAGTAGGGTTATCCAACTTTCCAAAGTCCTGTCTCTTAGGGCATTTTGGGTTTGATGGGAAAGACCACTTACCATGAATTGAGCCTGGAGAAAGCCTTAACAGCTATTGTGATTGGGGGGAAATGTTTTCCAAAATATGAATGCTCCATTGCTCCATTTTCTTGTTCTTCAGTGTTCTCTCTCTCTCTCTCTCTCTCTCTCTCTCTCTCTCTCACACACACACACACACACACACACAATTTGTATTCATAGCCACTTAAAGGAATGAGAGCAGCTTGCCAATTTTTCCAACTTAAAAAAATAATAATCAGACGTGTTCAAAATAGAAGTGTTTGTTCTTATTATCATTTCAAAGCACTGGGATGACTGTCAACTGATGTTCAGCCGAGATCCACAGGGTTCCTGCCAGTGGAACTGAGACAAGGTTGGCCCAGGACATTTGCAGTCTTCAGCAGCTGCATCATACAAGCTGAGTTTTGCTTCATGCAAAGCTACATGTGATGGAAACTTGAAGTTGTGGTAGTGGTGTTCCAAGGGCAAAAACACTCATGGTTAAGAACAGAGTCAGCGAGGGTCTGGAGAAACCTGGAGGGTCTGGATAAACTCTGAGGCCTGGTATGCTTCATTAAACCCCTAGGACTGAAATTCCCCATCCCTACTGTCAGTAGTTCATTGGCAGATGTCTGCTGCATGATTATGCTCATTTTTTTGCACAATAAAGTTGGACGGCTTTAATCCATGGACCACATCAGAATAAAACAAAACACAGAAGACTCAATTACTGTTCATACCTAAAAATGACCGCGTGCGCTGCATCAGGAAAATTTTCGGCCTCACATGTTAGGACAGAGTCTCACAGAAAGATGTGCCCACATTCTCAGCATGTTCACACTCCTGTCACAGTGACATCATGTCCACAGAATGGAAGATGGTAGGATCTCCAAGGACGTGCTCTATGGGGAGCTGGCTTCAGGCACCAGGCCCGTTGGCAGACCAGCTCGGTGTTACAAAGATGTCTATAGACGTCTCATGAAGGCTGGTAACATGAACCCTGCAATGTGGGAATAGCTTGCAGATGATTGCAGTGCCTGGAGAGAGACAGTCAAGTCATGTATCCACAGCAGTGACCAGAGGAGGAATGACCATTGGGAGGTGTGCCGAGAGAAGAAGCACCATGGTGCATCTACAGCAGCACAACTGGACGCCTTCATCTGCCCCAGCTGCAACAAAACATGTCTTTTTCATATCGGTCTCTACAGCCATGACAGGCGCTTGCAACTTTCCAACAGTTTGATTTTACCCCCAATGCCACACTCCTACAAAGTCTCACAAGGCAAACAGATGCCCACAACAATATGAATGAAGCTTTCCTCATAAAACAGGTAAACATTATTATAACCAAAATAAATGACATTTGGAAATGATTTCAAAGCATACCAAAAGCATGGTCGTGAGAATAAACTACCATGAAATCACTGATAAATAGTGACATTTGTGATGGTTTAAATAAAATAAACAAACAATTACGTAAATGAAATAAACTCACTGGTGATTTGAATATAAGGTCAGGTTTCCCTCTCAAATATATTTGCCTGTTGGGAAATTGGAGTTGACCATGAACTTCTCTTCTAGACTTTGCACATCCTGAATTTGCTCAGCAAGAGAAATCCAGCAGTTTATACCTCCTATTTGCTGATTCCCCCCATTTAGATTCTCTTTGGATGGGATTCCCAGGGAAATTCACATTTTGCTGTGAACTTCTGCCCTGAATTCCATTGCAAAATAGAAGGTGGGATATAACACAAAAATGCAAAATCACATATAAAATATACTGAATATGTTATGAAAAAATCGGCCTGCAATCTGCCTTCCCTTGTCATTTAACAGGACCCTGTTCTGGAAAAAAAAAACCTATCATTTTAGAGAAATTGAAGCACTTTGGCATTGTGACATCATTGAGCAGTTCATTTATCGATGAGCTTGCTCTTTATTGTGATAACATGAAGCACCAATTTGTTTCTTTACTCCGAAGAAGAGGAAGGATCTGTGATTTGAAGAAGACATTCCTTCTTTAACTGCTGCCTTTGCTACATCCAGTGCATCGCTGTGCATACAGAACATCCCATATGGCTGAAGTGAGCTGGAGGGGTTGCTACTAACCATATTTGAAAAAGCAGATGTTACTAATCTTCAAAATATTACACAAATGATGTCATCCTTGATTGACAATGGTCGGGGTTCATCAATCCCTTTCAGGGATATTTCTCTCTCTCCGTCTCTCCCTCCTCCCTCATAATAATACTTAAGTGAAAGCACACCCCCCCCCTTTAAACAGAGCTTGGCTCCAGAAGGGCAGCCCATTATTAGCACGGAATTCACTCGCAAAAAATGACATATCCTGCAGGGGGACACAAACATCTGTCTGTGCGAAGCATCTGAAAGAGCTCCTTCATAAATGGGCAAAAAGAAAGGATTTCCTATTGTTTTGTTAGCAGCATCCACTATTCATAGGGTTCAATGCAGATTCCTTTGCACAATTTGGCAGCAGCAAGACTACATTTTGGGGAGAAGCTAAGCTGTTTCTTAAATGTGCACCGCTTCTCTAAATTCCTTTGAGTAACACAGTAAACAAGGGATGGAGAATTTTTCTGTTGTGAACCACCTTGGGATCTTCAAATGAAGGGCAATATACAAAATCAATAATAATAATGTGGCCTTCTGGATGTTGTTGGACTATAACTCCCATCATTCCTAACCATCGACTACACTGACTGCAGCAGATGGGAGTTGGAATCCAACTCTGGAGATCTGCAGATTCCTCGTTCCTGTAGTAAATTGTTACTTTGTGTGGATAAGTGCAATTTGTGAAGTTGCTTTGGAAGGATAATTATATCACAATGAGTTAAAAACAATGGGCGGAATCCTATTTGTGCCCCTTTGATCAAGTTGCAGCTGAAAAGAGGAGATTGGAAACATCCAATTCCTGTTTTAAAACAACTGTAATTTATCATTCCATCCCCTTTGGGGACTCTGGTTTATTCGAAACTCTGGTTTGTTGAAGTAAGTCATGATCACAAACCATAGTTTAATCACAATCGCCTGGTTTGGGTATAAAATTAAATCATAGTATAAGCCTCCTCTTTCCTCTTCCAACTAAATGCAGTTTGTCATTTCAGCTGAACTGGGAACTCTCAACTAGATTTTAACTACGGTTTATCCCCAAAAGCCAGGTTCAGAAACCATTGTCTGGATTTGCCTTGTCTGGACTTAACGTATCCAAAGTTAGTCCAAGTTTGGATGAAATGCCAAACTACAGTTGCACCTTGGTAGTCAAAAGGCTTGGGTCCCCAACAAATCGGTTCCTGAACACTGCAAACCTGGAAGTGAGTGTTCTGGTTTGCAAACGTTTTTCAGAAGTGGCTCCCGGAACGGATTAAGTTCAAGAACCAAGGTACTACTGTAGTTCGTTTAAAACACATTTAAGGCTTGTTCTTGTAGCACTAAATTATGGTTTAGTGTTATACAGCATGCAAACAGCCTGATGTTATGAGGTAAAAAAGCAAATGAGGGCCACAGATTACACACCTCCAAAAATAATACAGAAAGGTTTTGATGACTCAAGTCAAACAAGTGGCAGTTTGTTCATTAACAACAATTTCCAGGAAGGCTAGAAATGGAGGAGGACATTACAGAATAAGCTTCAGTAGTTTTGTATGCATTCTCTTCTTCCAGGGTAGCTATTTTTGGCTGGTCCTTAGTGGTACATTTGGGGATAAGAAAATTTGCTGGGACCATGACATTTCCCTGCAGGTAGCCCTGGGGAAGATCTGTGAGTAAGAAGCCTAAAGCATGGCTATTAAATCAAACTTGTTTATGTTGGAGGCAGCAAAGAAAAGAGTAAGCGTGCTGAAACAGTGCCATGAAAACTCGGCTCGAATGTTAGGTTGATGGTGATCATCATTGTCAGGAAAGTTGACTAACCACTTGTGCTCTTTGGGTGTGGGTTTGTTTTAAGAATTAAAATGCATTAGTCCGACGAAATCTGTGCATTCCACCAGACTCTACCAGCTGCAGCTAACCCAAGAAGCGCTGTGAACTGCCAATCATGATACCTGAGTGCCACCATCATTGGGCAGTTCCTAGGGAGGGGGTGCAAGTGTGAGCTGAGTCTGCATGGATTAATGAGCGGTGGAGGTATTTGTTGCAATTCAGCTGTCAGGCCCCTTTGATAATGACCTTGAAACAGGCTTCTCTAGCCAGAGGTTTTCACAGCTCCCCAAATCAAACAGATGTAAGGGATATGCACAAGTCACGACACACGTGCATTTTGTAAATACATGAATGAGATAACCAGATTGTACTTTTAGACATGCCGCTTGCCCAGTGCCAATATGGGCATGCTACCTGGCAACCATGCATTCTAGGCCTGTTCCACTCGAGCAGATGCCAAAGCCCGGTGCAACCATTGGGCAGACGGAGGCAAGCACCTTAGGTGGCAGAAGCTGAAGGGCAGTGGCACCACCACCTCTGTGGCTGTTCCCCTCTGTTGGAGGGCAGGAGCACAGTGCCCTGCACCCCCTAAGCTAGCCAGCAACCCACTGGTGTGTTTGGGGATGCTGGTATTGAAGTACCAGTGTTGAAGTACGAGTCAGCTCTCAGAATTCCTACTTGCAGAGAGTAGCCATATGCTTGTAAATCTGTACATGCAGAGGCTCATTTTAACAGTAATACGGAATGCAT